TAAAGAATGACACCACATAAAGTTAAGAGAATCATACAATGTAATACATGAAAGGAAAAACTCATCTGACAGAGTACAACGGCCATGATTCAAGTATTGTGTCTCTTTATAAAGTTTGGATATTTTCATTTAATGGCCATAATGAGTTTATACCCGAAAGTCAGCAAAATGTGTCATATATGCCAAGTAGGAGAATGTAAGCATATTTCTAGGCTTACATGCCATATAGTTTTTTATTTATATTATTATATAATTATATATTTTAATCAATAAATAAATTGGATAACTAACATGAAACATGTCCACTATCCAATAAAGTGGTTTAATGAAAGTTACAACTTCCCTAATGGTGGGAAGTTATGAGTATAGCGATCCTAATTTAGACTCGACCTGTTTTGCTTTTGAATCCGGGAAACCATATCCGTGACGGTTGTTCTTTTCTCTTCATATTTGGTTTTGGCTTCAAGGGTTGACACCACCTTTGTTGGTGTCGACACTGCCTCCTTTTCTTAGTCTTGTTCCTGCTCCAAGGGTCGACACCATCTTGCTGCTATGTTCCTGGTTGGCTACTAAAATTTAGGGTCGACACCAACCTTTGGTGGTGTTGACACTTTCCTTTTATTATTGGCCTCTGGGGTCGACACCAGTCTGGGAGGTGTCGACTCTTATCTGCTGCTGAAACTGGATTTAGCTACTGAAATTTAGTGTCGACACCTCCAGTCTAAGGGTCGACACCTCATCTGCTGTTAGCGTTGGCAATTCTACCATTTCTTCTTGAGGGTCGACGCCTCTGGCCCGAGGGTCGACCCGTATGACTCTTTTTCCAGATTTTGTTCGACGTAGGCCTTGCTTTTTAGGGATTTTTGACTTTTTCTTTTCATTTGACTTTGGAGCTATTATTCTATTAATACCTAGTCACTATAAATAGACCCAAAGACACTTCTCTCTCATTAGTTGCTTCCCTTTTTCCTCTCTCACCCGTAACTCTCTCTCTTTCTCTCAAAACTCACTTTTTCTCACTTAGATCTTTAGATCTACTCACTTAAAGGTACCTTCTTATCTTGGTCCTTTGAGATACATTGTAAATTGCCTCAAGGGCTTTCTTTTGATCTATGTGGCTCGTGGTTTTGTTGACATTGGATTTTTCCGAGTTCTTCTCTTCCACCTTCTAAGCTTAAGGTAGGGATTCTTCGTACCTCTTTATAAGTTTCAACTTAATTATTTGTTTTTATAAAACCACCTTGTGAAATAAATGGATTTTTGAACAATCTTAGTCTTTGGTTCGAAATCAAAAGGAGGGATTTTCACATGGTTCCTTGGGAATGGTGGTGGGATTGGAAATGAGGTGTAGAGGTAACAAAATGGTTAGTTTTGATATTTGGAATTGATTTTGAAAGAAAATGGAGTTTTTCCCTAAATGTTGATTTTGTATAAATAATGGTATTGATGTTAGAAACATGGAATTTGATGGTTATTGATGAAGATGGTGGAGTTAAGTATGTATTACTACTCACATCTTGGAATTTGAAAAGTTTATCTTTATGGAAATTATTTTACCTGTTTAGAGAAATCTGTTTTAGGTTATCGATGAAGGAAAACTATGATTGTTGTAGAAATTGCATGAGAACTAAGTAAATTGGAACTATTTTTTCATCCATTTTTCATTGGGCATCGTTGCATATTGTCACATTTAAAATGTATAGTGTTTTGAGAAAAATGATGAATACTTGGTGAATCTGAGTAGGGGTGTAGTTACTATGATAAGTTGGCATGTGTGTTCTTGGTGAAAGACTAGAAACCCGCTCGGATAGGTGTCAAGCCTTCCGATCAATATAGTGAAAATGACAAATTGGTAATACTTGTATAATCTACTTACAGACACGTACCTAGAGATTCATAGAGTCGTATTTACAGTTCGGTTTTCTATCAAAAAAGGAAATGCTGGCGTTGCATGTTTTGAAAGAAATATAAAAATGTATTTGTCACTAACATCACATATGCATTTCACCATTATATCTTTGTTAAGATTCATTTACTGTGTTGGATTATTTTTGCTAGGCTTTGACTCACCCTATGTAGGAAAATCATTTTCAGGTGTTGATGATATGCCTTCGCCAAGGCAATAACTTGGGAGGACTTGCAAGCTAGAGCTCCATTTTGTGTATTTTGTTGTATTTGTTTGTATAAGCCCAGGGCTTTAACAGTATTGGGTTTTCCATCCATTTTGTTGTAACCAAGCACTATCTTGGAAAGCTGTAAGTCTTTAGGGCATTCTCTTAATTGTTTATCATTCATTTTAATTCCTCACCATGTAACACATGCTATAAATTCAGGGTTAAACTTATGAATGTATACCTGCATATGTTGCTTTTTTGTATAAGAAATTGGAATTAATGGAAGTTAATTATTTCATCATATGTCGTCTTTTAATTAATATTGTGGATGGGTTATTATATGCATTTTGAGACATTACAATGAGATGTTACACTTGGATTATGGGTCCAAACCTATCTATATATGTATGTGATAGCCATCAAAACACATAGGCTTGAAATTATATTCCTTCCACTTCTCCATATAGTTATGTGAGGGTGCATTTAGGGTGTTTATAAATTTGTGAGTAGTTTTGTTTATACATTCAAGAATTGATCAAACAAGAACACAATTCAAAGGCTTGAACAACATAGCAGGAGATATTCCTCTTTTTTATTAAATTATTTTAATTCTCACAGTGCGGACATACACTACAAGCGTGCGAATTACAGTTACTTAAGTTTGGAACACTTAGGATCCGAAAAATTATTTATACTTCTATTGTTTATTTCACTATCCTACTTACAGCAGTGTAAAAGAAATAAAACGAAATAGTTATTTGAACAGGAGCATTTTAGATATACAAAAAACCGTGACAAAACTTTAAAAAGTTGCGTTTTATATCATACTTGAAGTGTTGGCACACACTTACATATGTGAAACAATTATATCAACTAAATAATAAGACAGGCCAAGAAACTACTCCAAGGTGGGAGACATAACCAACTTGACCAGGCTTCATCTACTGTGTTGTATGCTTGAGACTATAGATTAGATAGAATAGATAATATAGATATTTGATGGGTAATCATTAAACAAATCAAAAAAAAAAAAAATTTTTTTGTCGAATATCAATTCAATTTCTTCTATTTTTCCTAGCTAAACCAAAAAATATATAAAAATGGAAGCTTCTTTCCCTTTATTTTTGGCCCCTATCTTTTCTCTTCTTTCTTTTTTTTTGTTTTGTTTTGTTTTTGTTTTTGTTTTCTGTTCTTTTCCATTCCCAAATTTAATATTCGAACGCCATATGTGTGCAATGCTAGTAGCTGCCAATTACAGGAAACAGATAAACAGCAAAAAAGTTCCGTACAGGTTGTGTTGTATGCATATATATATATATATATATGGAAAATGTTTGAGGGCCACAATTTTTGTGGCTCAAATGGCTCAAAATTGTCAAAACGACGTCGTTTTGGTAATTTTTGAAGTTGTTTTGTACTCAAAACGATGTCGTTTTAGCAATTTCGAGCCATTTGAACCACAAAAATTGTGGCCCTCAATCATTGTTGTATATATATATAAAGATTTGTAGAGAGAGAGAGAGGGGGGGGGGTTGAGGAGGTCAGCATCCCAAATTGGTTCCAACAAGAAGCTCTCTATATGATATTTGATGATGAGTGGACGAGTATAAATAAAAAATTTTATACCACTCCATATTCTTTTATTTATTTTATTTATTATTATTACTAAGTGATTGTCACTCATCTAGATTCATTGAGCATATTTATATGTATACATTTAAATCATATCCAAGCATGTTTATTAAATATACAATGTCTATTAATGAGTGCTCATAATATCCTCTCTCTATTCACACAGATTATGTGCATCATGGTGGTTGATGATGGCCATGTCCAATGATCATATGCATGATGTCCAGTCCAATGAATGCACCCAAAAAGGGTACAATTCTGGGCTGTTACAGCAGTCTAAGGAAAAAAGGGAAAATAAAAAATTTTAAAATGAAAAAAAAAATGATGATTATTTAGTAGTCTCGAAGTACGAACATGTAGTACTCCATAGTATTTTATTGTATTGTGATTGATGAAAAAGGGAGATAGGTGGGAGGAGAGATGAGAGAAAAAAGTGAAAGTTTGATTGATTAATAATAATAATAATGATAAAAGAGAGAAGTTGTATTTTAAAAATATGTTTGATTAATATGTTTCATTCAAATCATAATTTTAAAAAAAATAAAATTATGGTTTGAAAAATAAATCAAATGCTACCTATAATTTTCCTCCAAAAGGAGGGTCCTGATGGATGAGAAAAATGCAGCTATTAGGATGGCATGCATTTTATTCAGACAGCCTATCCATATAAACAGGACTCCCCAAAAAATACTGATTTAGTTATGATATTTCTCCCTACAAGACATCCTATCCATTTAAAGAGGACTCCCCCAAAAAATACTGATTTAGTTATGTTATTTCTCCCTACTAAGGTTGATGGGGGTGGGGTATCAACATAAAGCCTCTTTATGCAAAAGAAATTCTCTCTCTCTCTCTCTCTCTCAAAATATATATATATATATATATACATATATATGTTATTTGATATTTAGAAAATATCACGTGACCATATGTCCCTATTAGGTCTAACAAAAAAACTGAAAAAATCTTAAATCCGTCGCATCTAGACCAAACTATATGATTTGGTTTGAATTTCTCAATGTACAATTCAACCTTTAATCTTAAAATTGGTGAAACGTATATCATGATTTGGTCCATGATTATATTTACCATTTCGATTTGGAGCCGAACTAGACTACAGATATATACACACACATATAATTTGTTACTTATCATAAACAGTCAAGTACTTTGATCATTAATTTACTCTTAAACCGACGCTCGAGCTTAACCCCAAAAATAAGGGGCATGTGACGATTTTTAAGAAAAATAAGAAAAAAATAAAGACATGACCACGTGTTATCAGACATGCGCACGGTCACACTGGAATTCCTGACCTTTTTCTCTATCAGTACAATGCTGCACGAACCTCCTTTTTCATCACCATCATGGCTTATATTATTATTGCACCCAATGATCCCCTCAATCATGCCATTTATAAACTTCTTCCCCTCCCACTCCTCCTCTGCAACTGCAACCAACATAACTACCTTTCTCTCTAAAATATACATATCTCTTTGTCTCCAATGGCCTTTTTTCATTATAGTTTCTTTCTTGTTTTTTTCTTACTTTCTCAACTCAACTCTTCTCAATCCACAATATCTATTAATAACCAGTCGCAGTTCTTCACTCTCATGAAGAACTCTCTCAAAGGAAGGCCTTTGTCATATTGGGACCTCGCCGGAGCAAAACCTTTTTGCAACTTCACCGGAATTGGCTGCAACGAAAAAGGGTATGTTGTGAAGATTGATTTTTCCGGGTATGCACTCTCTGGCCGATTCCCTCAAAACGTGTGCTCGTACCTCCCTGAGCTCCGTGTTCTTCGTCTTGGCCACAACAACCTCCATGGCGATTTTCCTGATGGTCTTACCAGCTGTTCTCTCTTGGAAGAACTCAACTTGAGCTCTGCTTACCTTACAGGAACACTCCCGGATTTTTCTCCAATGATGTCTCTCCGGTTTCTTGACCTCTCATACAATCTTTTCAGCGGTGATTTCCCAATTTCTATCACCAATCTCACCAGTCTTGAGACACTGAATTTCAATGAAAATAGAGGTTTCAACTTATGGCAACTTCCGGAGAATATTTCAATGCTGACAAAGCTCAATTCTATGGTCTTGACAACGTGCAAGATACGCGGTTTTATCCCAAGATCAATAGGAAACATGACATCACTCGTTGATCTTGAATTGAGCGGAAACTTCCTTGTGGGTCAGATTCCAGCAGAGCTTGGGTTGCTAAAGAATTTGCAACTGCTCGAGCTTTTCTATAATCAACTTGATGGTGAAATACCAGAGGAGCTTGGAAATCTCATGGAACTCAGAGACTTGGACATGTCTGTGAACAAGTTATCTGGGAAAATCCCAGAATCTATTTGTAGGCTTCCAAAGCTCCAAGTCTTGCAGCTTTACAACAACACACTCACTGGAGATATCCCCGGTGCGATTGCAAACTCGACAACCTTGACCATGTTATCGCTTTATGACAATCTCTTGACAGGACAAGTTCCTCGAGGTCTAGGACGATCATCGCCCTTGATTGTTTTGGAGTTGTCGGAGAATCGACTATCTGGAGATCTGCCAGCAGAGGTGTGCAATCAAGGTAAATTGCTATACTTTCTTGTCCTAGAAAATATGTTTTCTGGGAAACTGCCAGAAAGTTATGCAAGCTGCGAGTCGCTTTTACGGTTTCGAGTTAGTTATAACAATTTGGAAGGTCCAATACCCGAAGGGCTTCTTGCTCTCCCCCATGTTTCAATCATTGATATGGCTAACAATCATTTGAATGGATCGATTGCCAAGACGATTGGAAATGCTAAAAACTTGTCGGAGCTGTTCATACAGAGCAATGGGATTTCAGGTGTCCTGCCTCCAGAAATCTCTCAGGCTGCCAATCTGGTGAAAATTGATCTCAGCAACAATCTCTTGTCTGGTCCAATACCTTCAGAAATCGGCAGCCTAAGAAAGCTCAATTTATTGATGTTGCAATGCAACGAGTTCAATTCTTCCATCCCCGATTCACTTTCTTCACTAAAATCTCTCAATGTTCTTGATCTCTCCAACAATCACTTGACGGGGAGTATCCCACAGTCTCTCTCCGAATTGCTACCGAACTCAATGAACTTTTCTAACAATCTACTTTTTGGTCCAATTCCTATCTCATTCATGAAGGGAGGGTTAGTAGAAAGTTTTTCAGGTAATCCACATCTCTGTGTTCCAATTTATCTTAATACATCAGATACAAATTTCCCCATCTGTTCACAATCCTATAACCAAAAGAAAATAAACTCTATCTGGGTTATCACAATTTCAGTGGGGACTGTTATTGTTGGAATTGTTTTGTTTCTAAAGCGATGGTTTAGTAAAGAACATTCCATGATGGAGCACGATGACACTACCTTGTCATCATCATTTTTCTCATATGATGTAAAAAGCTTCCATCGAATAACCTTCAATCAACGTGACATCGTTGAAGCCATGGTTGATAAGAACATAGTGGGACAAGGGGGTTCCGGGACAGTTTACAAAATTGAGTTGAGCAATGGGGAAATCGTCGCTGTGAAGAAGCTGTGGAGTCGCAGAACTAAAGATTATGCCTCAGAGGATCAATTGGTTATGGAAAAAGAGTTGAAAACAGAGGTTGAGACTCTGGGAAGCATAAGGCACAAGAACATCGTGAAGTTGTATTGCTACTTCTCAAGCTTGGAATGTAGTTTGTTGGTTTACGAGTACATGCCCAATGGAAATCTTTGGGATGCGCTTCACAAATCAAAAATCATTTTGGATTGGCCAACCCGTCATCAGATTGCACTGGGGATTGCTCAGGGTTTGGCCTACCTCCACCATGATCTAAAACCATCCATCATTCACAGAGACATCAAGTCGACCAACATTCTGTTAGATATCAATTACCAGCCCAAGGTAGCAGACTTTGGTATAGCAAAAGTTTTGCAAGCAGGAGGGAAAGATTCCACCACCACTCTCATTGCAGGCACTTATGGCTACTTGGCTCCAGGTAATTTTCGGATCCAACTCAGTTCTAATTCGATTACGTATTTACAGAGACATATATAAAGATCAATGAAATTTGTTAATTGGCTGGAAAGTTAGTTAGTTTGTTTGTTTGGTTTTTTTTTTTTTTCCCCAGTTGTTGTTCCTATGCTTATCATGTGTGATGTTTTTAAATTGTTCATTGATGTACACCAGTGTTACACGAAAATGCTAATACCCTAACGATTTACATTTTGGAATGTATGTTCCGAAACATGCTACACTTCCTTTCCTAAACTGAGAATTTAGGGATCTAAAGCGGTCCTAAAAAGCTTCCTATATATCTTCTTAGAAGTTTCCTATAGGAGGGAAAATCAAATATAATCAATTAAAATCTAGAAAGAATGTACTTTTTGCAGGACCAAATGTAAAACAAATGGACTTTTACCAGATTCATTGATATCTATATTTTATTGGATGTCTAACAATTCAAATTTAATTGCTATCATATTTAGTAGTCTCTTAAATTCTAATAGTGTAATCTATACAACACTACCCCTATCGTACCAAATTTTAGAGCATGTGATGTACCATGGGTCAAATTCCTCATACCAGAACAATCTGCGTTTTAGGTAACATAGATATACTATACTTGATTATCAGCAATTTCTCTTTTAGCAATTGCACATAATGCTCCAAAGAGTTCTGCATAAGCCTATTGTTAAATAGCATGTTGGTTTTTCAATATGGTACCAAATATTGCATCCTCGTAGATAAAATGCCTTGAAATCCAATTCATCTATTTAACTTTCAGCTCTATTACTGTCAAATAATTATTCATTTCATATTAATGTTATATAATTCAATTTTCATTGATGCCTTTGACAGAATATGCATACTCTTCTAAGGCAACGACTAAGTGCGATGTCTATAGTTTTGGAGTGGTACTTATGGAGCTAATAACGGGAAGGAAGCCAGTGGAGGAAGAGTTTGGAGACAGCAAGAATATTATAGATTGGGTTTCAACCAAAGTGGAGACGAAGGAAGGAACTATGGAGGCTTTAGACAACCAATTATGGGGCTTCAAGTATGAGATGATTAAAGTGCTCAAGATTGCTATCCACTGTACATACAGCACACCAGGCAATCGCCCAACTATGAATGAGGTAGTTCAGCTGCTGATTGAGGCAGACCCGTGCAGATTCGATACTTGCAAATCATCGAATAAGAACAAAGAAACAGCAAATGTCACTAAGACAAAGAACCCATATGATTTATAATTATAGAAGAGGTTTGGTGGGGTTTAAGGTGGGGTACCATAGCATCTATAGAACATTTCTAGCTCTCAAATTATTGAGAGATTAAACAATTTACCCTACTTGTTTTTCTTTGAAAAGTAGTATATAGATTTTTTCTTTTTCTGTTTTTTTCGCTTGACCTATTGTAAAGTATTTGAGGAAATTAATAATTATAATATAACTGTTTTATGAAAACAAATAGCATCTGTATTTTTTGTAGACCCACAAATGAATTAAATCTCAAGCATTTTTAGAATTTTGTTTTGTTTTTCCCTCTTCATCTATGCTCTTTATTTCATAATTTGAAATAAAAATAAAAATAAAAATAAAAATTGAAGCTTCAAGAAAAGGCAGTGATGTTGGTGAGAAGATGGAGGTTGTGATTGACATGAGAATTGTTTTAAGGTGGAGTCCTATTGCAACTATAAGACACTACTAGATCTCAAATAATTAAGAGACTAAACAATTTGCCCTATTTGTTTTTCTTTGAAAAGTAGTAGATAGATTCTGAGTTTTTTTCTATTTCTTCTACTTCTTTTTTTTCTCTCTTTTTTCCTAGGCCTATTGTAAAGTATTTGAGGAAACTAATCAATATAACTGCTTTATGGCAACAAATAGCATCTATATTTTTCCATAGACTCACAAATGAAATTATTTTCTAGCTTTTTAGAGTTTTTTTTGTTCCCCCCTCCCCCCTCTTTATCCATTTTCTTTACACCACAATAGTAATCCAAATAAAATGAGGCTTCAAGAAAATGCAGAGATGTTGGTGAGGGTGCAAGGTCGTGATTCGCATGAAACTTTTTTTGGTGTGGGTTCCTGATTCTGAATTTAAAATTCTAGTATGATTTATTTGTGGAGGGCCCTGTTTATCCACTAGAAAAGATGAATAGGCCCCGATTGATTGATGAGAGCATCTTTTGTCTCCAATTTAACAAGGGACAATGGAGAATGCATAAGCCTCTCATCTTTTCCTTTTCTCTGTTCCTTCTGTTCCTATGCCTCTCATTTCATGGAAGATAAGTGTGCCATGAACCTCCACTTGTCACTCGAACACTCTATGTTTATCTCTTAGTTGCACGAAACAGTGGTGCCTATGGGAACGTGTATATATTTTATATATTAAATCTACAAATATATTTTGACAATTATGTTTTCTTGCTAGTTGTAATATATGTGTTACAATATGAATAAATATATATAGAAGTTGTGCTTCTAATACTGATGGAAGAATCCTAAATCTCTCTTGGAACACCTTAGTAGAAAGAAACTCACTTCCAACTAAGATAGAACCTCTCAAACATACATAAAAATGTCAATCTTTCCCCTCCCAAACACACATTAATGTGTATTAATTGGACGCTGTTTTTATAATAGCTAGAGCACAGTATAGGCAATTGATGAGTTAAACTACCAATTCATCAACTTGTAGAATTGTAAATCATATTTAGAATCATGTTCCTAGACAAGCATAAAACAAGACCAACATGTGCACGTGTTCGCATCAGCGTTTGCAAGAATGAATACACGCATTCACACATGTATAAGTTCCATCTTTTTTTAAGTGGTGGGAAGGGTCCCCTTGAAAGAATAAGATTCAAGTAAACAAATATTTCTTTTGGCATGGTGGAGACTCCATAAATAAAAGTACTAACAAGAAGCTTTCAATTAAGGAATAGTTCTCCAACCCAAAAAAGGCAGACTACCCAACAAAGCTTTAGCTATTGGAAGTACTCTTCACGACAGATATGCCCTCCAAAAGCACAATTACCCATTAAAAGATCAAACTTTCACTCTTTTCACCAGTGTTTCAGTGGAAAAAGAAAATATCTAATGATAGCTATCACTAGAATTACATAGTCCCAACAACTAAATAATTTTGGGTTTACAAAAATATATCTTCTTGTACCATAAAGGACCGAATTGCAAAGTATAATTGCCCTTTTACTGCTTGAAATGACAACTTAGAATAAAATTACTAATAATGGGTTAAACATTGACATGGTGAGAAGCAAAATTGAGATAAACACACAGATGAACAATAATAATGTATCTGAATATGTAATGTAGACAATATGAGTACAATTTATTTATTTATTTTGGTAGATGAGTGTAGAATGAGTTTGTTTCACTTTCACAGTTGTGTGAAAGTGGTACAACCACAATGAGGTGGTTCAACCAACTTACATAAGCAATTCCACTGTTAGTTTATTATTGTTGTATATTCCATTGTTAGTTTATTATTGTATATTCTAGTGTTAGTCATAATGATGTTCCCCATTTGTATTCTAGTGTTAGTCATAATGATGTTAGTGTTAGTCATAATGATGTTCCCCATTTGTGTTTCTTCTTTCGGTGCTATTAAGGCACCCTATGTAGCTTTCCCTCTCTATAAAAGAGAGTGTAAATCATCTTGTAAATTAAGACAATAACAGAATATTTCAGTAGCTCTTTCTCTCAATATTTCAGTAGCTCTTTCTCTCTCTCTCAATCCTCTATCACTCTCTCAAATTATTCTTTCATCCACAAACATGTTGTGTGGGCAATACAGAATATGCTATACTAAAGTCAACTACTAGAAATATGCTTGATTAACAAAAGCTAAAGAAGAAACATGTTGATTAAACACTGTAAAATCAATCAAGCAATTAAGAATTACAGACCTTGTAAAAGCTTTGCCTTCAAACAATGGCGTTTGGGCAATCAAGCATGAAAAATTAGACTTGGAGTTTAAGCAAGTTGAGATGATAGTGCTATTGACAATATCCCTCAATCTCCCTTTTATTTATTATTGATGATTATTATCACTAACGCTCTGTTTCTTGTAAGTGTTACACGAACATGTTACATGAACAATTATGATGAGTGAAAGTCAATGCATTTTATTTATTTTTATTTTTATTTTTTAATTCGATGTTTGGTTTGGATGTCAAATTACTTAAAAAGGAAGGATGTGCAATTGTATATCCCACTCTCACACAGACATATTTTTATCTTCCAATAAATAATAATTACTCCTTTTTATTTCATACTATATGTTAGAGCATTTTTAAGAGGCTATTTAATAGAGGATTATTAGTTATTATAGTTAGTATTATTTTATTTTAGTCACTTTAACAATTACAATAGTTATTTTAACGAAATTCTGCTAACTACATTTGGAGAGTCTTGGTAACTCTTTAAACAATCTCTGTAAATAGATAAATAAAATAAAAAATAGTGTTGGAATAGATAAAAAAAAAAAAAAATCAGTCAATAAACAATATATATATTTTATATTTTAATTAATAAAAAATGAAAAGTCTGATTAGAATTACTCTGAGCTCATAGCATATATAATGCATTTCATAGCCTAAAAATATTATATCTCATTCTATATCTATCAAAGGTCATATTTGCTTAGTTCCGGAGGAGAGGAGATTGGACTAACAATATTGTGGTCCTAGATGATCTCTTACCTAACCCATATTTGGTTGACAAAAATGTAATGAAACTACTAGTCCATGGGATCAATGTATCAATCATGTACTGTACTAGTTGGTACTACCATTTTAGAAGCAAAATGATGGGCTTTTTCCCAAAATAAGCCTATTTTGCATTTTATTTCTCAAACTAGGCCAACTTCTGACGAATTTCCCAAAATAAGCTGAAGCGCCGTTCCCATTCGCGCTTTCACTGTGAGGAGGTCGAAAGTTGATGAACAGTGTAATCGCTATTCCAATTCGCGAGTTTGATTAAGAAAACGCTGTTGCAAATAGCGCTTCATTTTGTGAATAAAACGCTATTCCGAATAGCGCCTTAAGTGTTGCAAATAGCTTCATTGGTTTGTGAAGAAAACGCTATTTCGAATAGCGCCTTCACTGTTGAAAATGGTTTGTGAAGAAAACACTATTCCAAATAGCGCCTTCACTGTGCACTTACAAACTCGCCATTTCTAATAGCGCTTTCAGACACAATAAAACACACCCAAGCCACGTTTTTTACACTTCTCTCACACTCAGCTCTCGATCTCCTCTGCTCTCTCACCCTCAGCTCTCGATCTCCCTCTGCTCTCGATCTCTCTCACTCTCTCTCTCTCGATCTCCCTCCGCTCAACTCTCACACTGTCGCTCTCGCTCTCCCGCTGCTCTCACTCTCTGTCTCCGTGGTATGGCTCTGTCTTTTTTTTTCTGAATTTTATGTATTTATTTATTGTGTTTGTGAATGTGTGTTTGTGAAAATGTGAATGTTAGGGTTTTAAATGTCAATTATTAAATGTGTTGGTTGTAATGTGTTAGGGTTTTTTATCAGTGTTGTGAAAATGTTAGGGTTTGGAATTTTGCTTCTGAATCAGAAATCAGAAATTATGTTTGTGAATAATTTGAAATGTCTATATTTCGAAATCATCTTCTGAAGAAAATATAGACATCTTCTTCACCAATATTTGTTCACCTATATTTGAGCTAGATGCCATACTTGTTGAATTGGAATATAGACATTTTGAGCTAAATGTCTATATTTGATCTATACACAAAATCATCTTCTTCACCTATATTTGTTGAATTGGAATTATGAAATGTCTATATTTTGATATTTGAAAGCAGAAATTGGAATTTTGAAATTATGCTTGTGAATCAAAATGTCTATATTTTTTTTGGAATTTTGAATTGTGTATAAATCAACCTATATTTGTTGAAATGGAAATTTTATTTGTTGCTTGTTAAGAGGAATTAAAAGGAAATTAGGTTTTGAAATTAGGGTTTTAAAAGTAATTTTTTTTAACTAAGAATAAAATTAAAAAAAATTGAAATTCATATAATTGATAATTGTTAATGTCATATTATGAAATTCATATAATTGAGAATTGAAAATTGAAAATCATTTTATGAAATTCATGAATTCAGATATTTATGAGTAACATAACTAAGAGTTTATTTGAACTGGAATTTGGAATTTTTCATGAACCAAATAACATATGGCCCCATGAGTGTGGACTGTTCACCAAGTGTGGACTGTTCACCAATTATCCCTATTTTAAATTGATAATGTTATATATATATTAATAAATTTGTATTATAAAAAAAAATTAACTACTAGTATAACACCTATTACATCATTGACATAATTCATGCTTTAATTTTAAAAATTTTATTAGTACATGATATATCAATTATTAAGAATAATTTATAAAATTTATGAATTTGTATAATGTTTTTCATTTTGTATATGTTATATATGAAGTTGATGTGTTAAAGTCAATTTGCTTTAATC